CATTTTTATGGCGAATGCTGGTTCTACGAATAACAGCACACCACGCCAATGGTGTGAAAAAACTTTGCAATGGTTGATCCGGGATAGAATGTCTCTAAAAGAGGAAGGATCAAAGAGTGGATCCACATCATTACCATGACTATCTTTGCCTTTGTTTTGGTTACAATCGTTTTGTGCTTCAACGGACGACAGATGGCAAAGCACCGATCCACACTGAGGATAGTTAGCGTAATGAGCGAGGAACCAGCAGAGAAAAGTGCTATTATCCAAGCAACAAAAATTGGAGTATGATATATGCACTTATATATTAACCCCTGAATTAGTACATAGGACATTAGAGGCATTACTACTGCTGTCACCATCAGATCAGCTAATGCCACGTTTGCTATCAAGATTCCGCACACGTTCCTCAAAGTTGGTGTGCGGTAAATAACAAGAATCACAAAGATGTTCCCCAGCGATCCGACGATAGCTAACGTGGTGTACAAAATCATTGCCACGATTTCACCAGCGAATCCGAGTGACAGTTTGCAGTCAGACTCTTCATCTGTAGCTGCCATGTTGTGTTCGACGAGACATCTGCTCAGAAGACACACTCAAAGCTTTAACTGAGATTCTCTTTTTCCGCCTTCAATGAACTTCATATTCCTCATGCGTTGACATGTTCCCTCATGAAAGTTTGAAAACAAGTCATCGCAATATAAAACAATTTCAAAACGATACTTTTCAAAATAATCAGCAATCTCCTGCGAACTATTTCAGGCACTTTCTTTTATCTTTAAGGACTTGATAACAATGATGTCATGGTGCCGCAGAAACGTCAATGAAATATTTACAATCCAAGCAGAAATCTTCTTACGGCCAATGACCTTAAATTTTCAAGAACGTTTTAATGAAATGTCGTGAAGAAGTTGTCGCCACACCGGAGACATTTTTATTAAGAGTTTAATACATCTGGAGGGTTGCTTCATTTTCGTTAGGCAATATCAAATTCTCACTGTAACCTTCTAAAAAAAAACAGTCCAGATCAATACACAATACAATACACTTTATTATTATGGCTCCCCCTATACGAGGCTATTCTGTCGTAATACACAATGATATCTACAATAATAAATTACAATGGGTAAAAGAATATTTACATGTGTTGCGAAAAAAATAATAAAAAATAAAAAATATATATAAAATAATAATAATAATGATAATTGACATGCGTTCGTCATAAAGGTATAAAATGGTCAAAAGATCCATTTAAGAAGAGTTTCTAATAAAATGGGTCACTTTCCCTTTAAAACTTAAAATATCGTTTGTGCTTCAAATGTTTTCTGGAAGAAGGTTATATTCTTTTGCCCCGTGAAAAGTGAAAGAGGATTGACCAATTGATAATCTGCACTGTTTAGGAAGGTTTAACTGTGACATATTTCTAGTGTTGCGTCCCGACACATTAAATCTGTCATGACTAGTAAATCGCAAAGATAATAAGGTGGTGCCTGCTTTGTTCTACACTTATGGAACACGGTAACGGTATTTAATTGATCCAAATACAGTGGAAGGTCTCGTGAGCGACTACCCGACTACCCGACTACCCGACTACCCGACTACCCGACTACCCGAGATGTAAAGTCTAGGTGGTTACTTACAGGAGGACAGGCCACAGGGGGTCCACATTTGGGGAAATTTGCATTCGCGACCTGACCCTTTCGCCAGCACTTGTCGAAACTTATAGTGATAACTCTTAGTGGCTTATTCAAGGAAAAAAATAAGACTTAGGATCTATGCTGATTATTTAGTATCTCACAAATTATTTATTACAGCGCGCTTGAGACCATTTTCGCAAAAGAAACCTGGCTCGTTTGTTATTTCATGTGGTGCTATCCAATTTGTTTTTCTGGGAGCGGAACACAAGCAAACATTCACGCTGTAATGTTATTTCGGGAAACACTTCCCGGCGGCTCCACTTTTACGACGTGCGTTGAAATAATTTTCAGTTTCCGCTCGTGA